TCCTTCCGAGGAGTGGCTGGTGGGTTTGAACCGCCAGCCTTCTGGTGAGCAGTCAAGTGCCTTAGGCACTATGCTACCAGAGCTCCTATATATTAAAAATTAAAATACAGAAGTGAAGTTCATAATACTGTTTTCCTCCTTTGTTTTCAATGAAAACAATACATACTCACAGTAAAGGTAGATTCACCATTCTAAACTAATAAGCTTAACTTCAGATGCTTCTTTGCATGGACTTCTTTAGGATGGGCCCTAGCAATTTTGTATTTGTAATTTTGTTTTTTTTTCTCAAAAAGGTTATCGTCCAAATTTTGTAAGTATCAGGCCCCATGTTATCTGAACCCTTCCCTGGTACAGAGTTTATAAAACTATATTAAGCATGAAATTTATAAATAAAAATAGTCCCCACTCTTCCCCACCCTTCTCACTCCCGATCCTCACTCAGACTTTCAACTCTTTCAGCTGTTTCTTCTGTATTTATCTCCATAGTTAATTACATTATAAACTGCATGCTCACAGGGCTGTATCTTGATGTTTTGATTTTATGTACGCACATACTCACTTCCTACAGGAAGATAAAACGGCAGCTCTCATACTCTCGCACACACAAACTTAACTCTCCCCATGTTCCCAAAATGTCACAATTTGGGGTTGAATTAATATTCAGTTTTTACATCAACATCACCATGCAAATAGCACTCATGACTAAACTACTTTGTTTCAGCTAGAATGTACAATAATTTTATTTTCTTTTTTGTATACCTTTTTGTTTTCCCTGGAAAACTGCCTCATTTTTTTTCCTTGTTCAAATTCCTATGTATCACCTATGACTAATTTATTCTCAAACTCTCCAGCAGAGAGAGTCCAGAGTTCAAGTACATCAGATACTTCTCAGTTCCATTATTTTTTTCCCTGCACACACATCGTCTTAGAGTCCAATGTTCTTTTTTTCCCAACCTAGTTTGCTGTTCTTCTAAGACATTAGTTCTCAACTGCCCGCACTCGACAAACTCCAAACCCATTGCCATCAAGTTGATTCCAACATACAGTGACCCTACAGGACAGAGAAAACTGCTCCAGATGGTTTCCAAGGCTATAATCTTTACTGGAGCAGAATGCCCCATCTTTTTCCCATGGAGTGGCTGGTGAGTTCAAACTGCCAACCTTTTGGTTAGCAGTTGAGAGCTTAACCACTGCACCACCAGGGCTCCTGCTCTATCCCCAGTGCTTAGCAAAATACCCAGCACATAGGTCTCAACCGAGATTTGTCAAATAAATCTTGATGGGACAAATATACACTCATATGAACATACATACATACTCATAGCCAATTAACTTTTTAATTCTCTTCAGATTAACAACAGATTAGCACAGTATCACACTTGTAGCATTTTTTTCCAATTTATTTCCCGCTTCCTTTTCCAAAGTGTCTAAGGATACCTGTTCTGCTGCCTTGCTTGTTATGGAATGCAGCCCGATGTCTTGACATCTTTGGGCCCCAAATATGAATTCGCAGTTGGAACTGCCCTCCTTGCACTTACCCAAATGCTAACGTGGCTCTACAAAAACTAAACCCTTCCTTACCTGACAAACAGCAACTCAATTAGGGCCTATTTTTCCTTCTCTCACCCAATCCTTATTCTGCTTTTCAACTTCCTCATAGGTGAGCTGTCGGTCATTCTTTTTCCCATTTAAGTTTCCACTGATCTTTACTCTTTATATTGTGCTGTCATTCCTTACGTTTCTAGTAACTTCTAACTATGGTCTCCGTAATATCTTCTGTAGCATGCACAAACAGGCCATTCAGCCTCCAACCCTAGTCATCGGCATCCTGCTGAAGAAAATCCTACCGCTTAGTAGAAACATAGCTGCTGCTCGATGCCACTGAGTTGATTTTGACCGCTGTCAACCCCATGGGACAGAGCAGAGCAGCCACAGGGTTTTCTAGGCTAAATCTTTACGGGAGCAGACTGCCAAGCCTCTCCCCTCAGCAGCCACTGAGTGGGTTCAAACCAATTTTTCAGTTATAAACATTACCACATCCCAAGTCAAAGTATATTTAAGTTACTCTGGCCATGTTAGATAAGAGGTTCTCATTTTTAAAGATTCTGAATAGAGTGTTTTCCTTAATTATAGTTTCAACTCGAACCCTTCCATACTGGTATTATGTATTTAATGGCAGAAATGCTTAACCTAGGGGCCTGGACTGTTATTGTTTGGTTTTGGGTATTTGAACTCTAAATAATTATGTATATTTACTTGCTATTATGATAGCTTTCCGAAGATTCTCAGGGGAGAATTGAAAGAAAGATGTTAAAATCCTAATCTATTATTATTATCATTATTGTGATTTGGGTGGAAGTTTACAGAGCAAACTCACTTTCCATACAGCAAACTCACTTTCCATACACTATGTTTCATGACATTGACTACAATTTACTCCAATGCAACAGCTCCCCTCCCACTTCCTCCCCATAGTTACCTCTTCCCTGTGTCCTTCCTCCATGCACTCCTGCCCCCTGAGCTGTCTCCTTGTGCATATACAGCCCTTCTACTCTCCCATGATTGATCTCTCCAAGGAGTGTATCTACCTAGTGTAACTGTTCAGCTCATAGGCCTATCTTTTGTTTGGCTGGAAGCCACAGGTGTGGGTTCAATTCCAGACCTGAAGGGCAGCTAGGGGCCATAGTTTCAGGGGTTCTACCAGGCTCTATCAGACCCAGCAAACCTGGTCCCGTTTTTTTTTTGCAATTGATTTTGAGTTTTGTTCCACATTGTTTCTCCCTCTCTATCCAGGATCTCCTACACAGATACCCTCCGAGTGGTTGACAGTGGTAGCCAGGCACCATCTAGTTCTTCTGGTCTCACAGTCGTACAGGCTGAGGATTACATGTCATAACCCATTATTAAGCCTGTAAGATGACAAGAGCCCTGAACAACCAGGAAATTACCAAATAAAAACCACCTACTTTGTGCATTATAATTTGAGTTTTTGGATACTCTCCTTTGGGCTTCTGGATCTCCTTCCGCCATATTTACCAGCCACACCATTGTTGCTGTTGAGAAAGACAAAAGACCAGGTAAGCACTAGAAATGCAGAAAGAAAACACGTATGTAGACAGCAGGCCATCTTTTCTCTACATAAATCACTAATCTCCCTAATGATGCCTTACGAATCCGTAATACCACAGGTAAATGCTTGTTAAAAACCAAAAAAAGATTCTCTTTGATATCGGCAGGTAAGAAACAATTCTGCAACTGAATTTTACTATAGCATTCAAACTTCAGCAGCTACAGCAAAGCTACTCATTATCATATATTGTCCCTAAAAAGTAACCAGAAGGAAAACGGTTCAGGCCAGCATGAATCTACTGAACCAATAGCTGGACTAGTTGAATTTCCTAAAATATTATGAACTCATTGATGAAAATTATTTACTAGAATTGAATTACATTTGAAAACAAAGCTGGGGCTCACAGAAGCCTTAGCTAATGATTACAATTCTAAAGATGCACTGAATACACTTCCTTCATATTAGGTCTCACTTCTGGTATTTTTAGCTCTGGTGGCAGGCACAGTGCCTAAGGCATCTGACTGCTAACCAGAAGGTTGGTGGTTCAAACCCACCAGCCACTCTGAAGAAGGAAGACTGGGCAATCTACTGCCATAAAGATTTACAGCCTGGAAACCCAAAGGGGGCCGCTGAGTCGGAATCAACTTGATGGCAGTGAGTCTGTTTTTTGGAGTTTCTGGGATTTTTAATAATGCTAAACCCTGTTATATATAAAGAGTAAGAAAAAAAGGTTAAAAGCAATAAACATAAAGGCACTAAATAGTCAACTGGCCTATTCTACATCCCTTTCACAAGAATACACATGTATCAATGTATCTAGATATACAAGTGCCAAAAGGACCCGGGGAGAGGTCTTCTGACCTCCTCTAACTTAAAAGGAAGACAGAATCACCGTCAGCAGCCCTAGGCTTATTCCTCAAGGGCATACATGCTGCCACTCTCCAGCCTTTTTGCTAACTCTGACACCAACTGTCCCTCCTCACTACTTCTCTACTGGGTTTGATAATTTGTTGCAATAGCCACACGGCACTCACTACTTCTCAGCTAGGTTCAGTAATTCTTGCAATGGCCACACAGAACCCACAGACAATACTCAAGATTAAGGGGTTTATTAGCGAAGTAACAGGCTGCAGTACAGGTTCAAGAACACATTCAGGATACTGTTCTTCCATCAGGACAGTCTCCTCTCTCCTATGCCCTCAGGCACGCCTCTCAGGCCCTCCCTCTCAGCCTAGCCTCTGCCCTGCTCCGGCAAGTGCTACGAAGCTCTTTTAGCTCTGCCGACAGATATACCTGGGTGCACCCCATTCTGCCAGTGAGCCTCCTGCTCAAAGGCACTCAGCTTTCTTGCTCTGTGGGCCACAAGGGCATCACTCTATCTCGTGCCTGTTGGTTCCACTGCTGCCATCTCTTTGTCGGGGCATCTCTGCCGAGACGAGCTATTGGGCAGGAAGCTCACTGGTGGAGTGGGGTGCACCAAGAATTACCTATGGGCAGAACTAAAAGAACTTTGTAATACTTGCTCGAGCAGGCCAGAAGCCAGGCCGAGAGGCCAAGGGCCAGAGAGGCTTGCCTGAGGGGCACAACAGAGGGGAGACTGTCCTGATCAAAGAACTGTACCCTGAGCGCGTTCCTGAACCTCAATTGCAGCCTATTACTTCCCTAATAAACCCCATAATCGTGAGTACTGTCTGTTGAGTTCTGTGTGGCCACTACAACAAATTCTCTAATCCAGCAGAGAAGTAGTGAGTACCGTGGAAGGGAAGGTTGTTGCCAGAATTGGTAAAAAGGTTGGAGGGTGATGACATGTCTGGCCTTATAGGAATAAGCTTTGGGCTGCCAATGATGCTGCTGCCTCCCTCTTTTCAAGTTACAGAGGTCAGAAGATGCTGCCTCCGTGTCCTTTTCAGAACGAGCATATAGATAGATGCTCCTTCTGCATGTCCCTTACACATTAGTTAAGAGATGGTGTAAATACTTTCAAACTATGCTACTTTCTTTTACACAATGTTAGTAGAAATGAAAAATAGTACCACAGGTCTGGAGGGGAATTTGGTAATACCTAGCAAAACTACATGTGTATTTATCCTTTGACCTAGCAATCTCACTTATAAGAATTTATCCTAAAGATACACCAACAATAATACAAAAACATGTGCCACATAGGGCTTTAGCAGGAACCAAATGTCAGCAGTAGCCTGAGTCTAGTTTGGTCATACTGAGTAATTTTAAACAAGACACTCACATCTACGTATCTTTGGATTTTTAGGACTATGATTGTATAATTATATCCATGTTCCTAATATTCTTACCACTAGCCACTCCTCGGTATGAAGATGGTGCAACCTACTTCCATAGTAACACAGCCTTGGAACGACAGCACATAATGACAACAACAAATATTCTTAGGCTTCTTAAATAACTTATGAAGGAAATATACAACCAAAGAGGCTGGAAATTCTATAACCGCCACACTTAATCATTCACCAGTGCCTTTAGTTTCTGAAGTGAAACAAGTTCCACTATACAATAACCCAACTAACATGATCACATTCAATATAAGCCAGGCAAGCAATATACTGTTAATCAAATACAAAGGAGAAGAAAAAAGGCAGATAAATCACCATGTACTATGGACTTCTATAGTCTTCTTGGCAATGAAGGCAGCAGGGATTTAGTTAATTACTTTCTTTTTGCCAAGCATGGAAAATATAGCTACAAATATTTTTGTTTTAACATATGACATTATCATAGAAATCAGAAGTCAGTAATTTTCTCTGTAAAGGGCCAATATAGTAAACATTTTAGGCTTTACGGGTCATATCTGGTCTCTGTCCCATATTTTTCTTTTTAAGCTATTCTTTAAAAATGTAAAAAAAAATTTTAGATTAAAAAAAAAAAACAAAACTCACTACCATCAAGTCAGTTCTGATTCAGAGCAAACCCTCCTTGGGCTTCATTTTTTTCTTTTTTTTTTTTAATTTTATTTTGATTTGGGTGAAGATTTAC